TAAAGTCGGAATTCTGAGATTAAAGTTGGAATTCTGAAATTAAAGTCGGAATTCTGAGATTAAAGTCAGAACTCTGACTTTTTTCTCATATTATACTGAAATAAAATGTAAAAATATTTTTTTTTCAGTGGCCCCAATCCTCTTCCGTAGGTTTGTAATAATGAAACAATTCATTAATAACAATGCCACCCACCCCTTTGCAGGGGTTAAGGCGTTACAGTTGCTTTGAATCTAAATGTATTTTATTGTCTTTCCAGGGTTTCTTTCAATCACTGTTCCATTTAAATTCAAATTAAAGTAGGAGGGTCAAATGCTCAGATCAGGGCCCTAGGTCATAGCTGAAACCTTATTCTAATCTTGTGACCTTTTCTAAACTATCAGTTTGGCAATACATACAGTTTTATTTTAACTGAACTATTTATTAGTAGGATAAATTAATAACCCTCTTATTTAGCTTAACATTTATGTGCTTTTGATGCTGCGTTCAAGGCCGCATTGATATCTAAACAAATCAGAGCAAAATTTAACAGTTCGCCCAATCTTTAATTATTTTTTTTAGAAATAGATTTTTTTGTTTGTTTTTTTAATTAGAAGTCTGTGTTCTGAGCAGAATAATCTCGCTAAAAAACATCGCTTAACCCATTTTTCGAAATATAGCTCAGCCATTTGCTTATTTTACCGTTTAACGTCGTTTCTCCTGTTAGGTTAAAGAGGGCGAGGTTGGCCGTCTGTTTATTTGAGTGAATTACATTTACATTAATGTACAACAAATTTAGCTCTCTTCCTCGTCTTAATTTGTAGTTATGTGAGCAGTCTGGACGAAAAAAAAAATGTTTTTTCAAATTTCCTCACTCCTTGAACGTAGCACCGACCTCGCTAGCTCGAGCCAGCTCCAGCCGGCTCGCGCTAACACTCCCCTCGCTGCAGACACAACATTTAAACGGTTACCTTTTCCGCCGATACATCGATGGCAGACTGGTTGTAAAACGAAGTGACCGTCTTTGACCGCTCTCTCGCCAGTTCTGAGAAACCCTGCGCGGACGACGTGGACCGGAATCTCTGATTCCCACTGCCGGTCTGCAGCGCAGCCGGTGATGTTTTGGTTGCCGATGCGAGGAAGAGGCTGCCGAGCCTCGGCCTTGCCCTGCCGGTGACACCGCTCAGCATCTCCGCCGCTATGCCTGCCAGGCCAGGTCGCATTTGGAGACGAGCTGAAAGCGCGAACAGGGCTCGCCCGTTCCCGGTGCAGAAAAGAAACTTGAGTTTTCTAGTTGCTATGAGGCCATGAGGGCTTTGTCAGCTTTGTGCACAAAGGCACGTATCTGATCTGAATACAGTAACTACGGGGTACAGAGAGGCCTTTGCACCCATTGGCCAGTGGGTCAAAGATGTAAGGAAGCAGAAGGGCGGTTCAGCCAATCAGCGAGCAGCTCAGAGGCGGAGCTTAGTACCATAAACTACCCCACCACAAAGGCACATACTGTACTGTACAGGCTAGAACCGAAGGAAGAACAGCAGTGCCAAAAAACACCTCAGCATTTATTAACATTTTCCCACAAAAAGAGAAAAATACACCACTTTTAGTTTTTTTTTTTTTTAGACAACCAAACTACGCTAGTTAAACCAAACAGTTTCACTGTGTATGCAATAAAAAATGACCTTTTCTGCCTTGTAATAATAAGAAAACATTTGATTTGAGCTGCATTTTACAAAGTTGAAGAAAATTAGAGAAGCTTATGTCATAGTTAGGAGATAAGATCAGGGGCGGATTTAGGATATTTGGGGCCCTAGGTAAGACAGGCAGGGGCCCTCTGAATAGAGAAGGCAATACATAAAACAAACCCATTATACAGATAGAGAAATGTTAATAGAATAGACATCTGTTCTAGGTTTTGTCCCTCTCTTCTTGTTTTCCTCTCTATGTTTTGTACTCAGCTGACTTTTCATGCTGTCTCTAAAGGAATGAAAGATTTTTTCCAAGCACTAAGCT